AACGTTTTTTCTGTTTAAAATGTGTGAGGTTTTTTTGATTCTTTTCATAACTAATGATCATTAAAGTAATGACTTTATCATTTCATTACCATAAGCATCAAAGAATCATAACATCCTGGCTAGCTCAGTGTACCAGAGGAAATGATGACATGTCTCTTATTGGTCAAATATGTAAACTCAGACGAGGAATACGACAACAGTTTTAATGTCTCTGTGTTTTACAGTTTGAGTATAAATATAGAAACAGACTGTTAGGATCAGAATGTACAAATAAGAAAAATATAGAATTATATACATTCAAATGAAACCGGACAATGTTTATATACAGATGTAAACAATAGTGCAAAGAGATAAATATTTAATGCAGTAAATGACTTAGAAACTATGGTCAGTGTCGACATGTTTACACAGTATTTACAGCATGCAGGATTCATACAGTCATGACAAAGATTCAATATCAAACTGATGACATGACAGACGTTAACTCGTTAAATCAGAGGTTCTCCACCTTTATTGGCTCGTGAGATTCTGAGGACATCCAAAACACACAAACAAACAGCTTATTGCTCAAATTATTATTCTTTCAATCATGTGACAGGTGAGCGCGCATTAACGAGGCTGGAAGTGAATGCTGGACACTCGATGAGCAAGCAGCAACCGCTTATGTTGAAAAATGAAAACAATGCAGAAGTACAAAATCCTGCAGTTCCTGGAGTGTCCACTAGAGGCTGGCTGCAGAAGCACAGGAAGTCACATACACACCCATTCTAAAAAGCCTGTTTTTACAGCAGAGATGAACATGTTTACAGCCTGGTTCAAAAAACCAAATAGGTGTGATTAGCTCATGTCTGGATGGACACACACTGTACGGGGGGGGAATGTTTTGATGACTCATCAGTTTTGATTTGATGAAGGATAAGAGTTATTCACAATAAGGCGTGTAGCTGACCTGATTGACAGGTGGGCGCGGTGTAACGGTTTGTCAGGAGGTTTAAAACCCGCCTCAGCTCCAGCTCTCAGCCTGTCGTTAGGTTGACTGAAAGTTAGACTGAGGCAGCATTTCCAGCATGGAGACCGCCATCGATGGGACTCCAGCGCCCCCTGCAGGAACAGACGGGGACGCCACTCAGGCTTCGTCTGTGGTGATACTGCACGTTTGTTAGCTTTTAGCATGTAGTTAAACTGGATAACGTCTTATATGTTTTGTTGATCAATAATTAGACATTTCAGAGGACCCCGTTTGAATTCCATGCGACCCTGTATGGGGACAGTTCAAGGTACAGGTGTGTGTGTGTGTGTGTGCGTGTGCGTGTGTGTTTGCCAGTCAGACCAGATCTGCAGCAGTTCTGGCACAGACTTCAGCTTGTCTGTTAACACACACACACACACACACACACACACACACACCTTTGACAGTTTACCTAATTACTATCAAACGGCTGTAAGCGATATGTGAGGCACGTTGAGCTGAACGCAGACAGACAGACAGACTGATCATTATCCGGTTAAAGGACTCTCTGTAATGATGCAGAGACTATAATTACTGCATCTCACAGAAAGAATCACGTCACTCTTATCTTCTCTAATCGTTACCAAACTAAATCAAATGGAAACTTGACTTCAAACACTTGTAAAGCCAGCGTGTTCACCAGCAGCAGGCTCCTACTTCACTAACTCTGCAGGTTTACGGTGAATTCAAGCGGGGCTTCAACATCTTTTCACGTTTGAAAGAATCATATCACACGAGACGATTGAGGTCGACGAGGCGATCACAGATCTCACAGAAACTGATCACAAACTGATTGTGGTTTGTCTTGACGCTCATGTTGTTGACGGTAGGTTGTGTTGTGTTCGCTGCCATGTTTGTAAGTTGCAGAAGTACACAGCATCCGGTTGGTGACGCTTCCCGGTAGAGGGAGTCCCGCAGGTTACGGGATCCTCGTAGGGATTCCTCCGAGACGCCAACGTATTTTACTACTTATCACGGGATTGTTGAGACGGGACGGGAAAGAAAGTTTGACAGGAATCATGGTCACAAAAGAGTTTTATATGCACACAGAAAAAGAATAAAAGTTCATATTTCTGTCTGTTAGCTGGTTAAACGTGCAGGACGTATGTGCCGGCACATGGTCGCGCATGCTGCTAAAACGAGCTAAAAGGTAAAAACAGCTAAAAACAATGATCCGTCTGGGGGGGGGGCCTCAGGGACGAAGAGCTTCAAGAGGCTCGCCAAGCAGGCGGGTTGGAAAAGCAGCAGCCGGTAAGTTAGAATCCTGTTTAAGGCACTTGAAATTATTCAGACATGTATTTGGTTGCAACAAGCCTCTGAAAGTGCCACACCCCCTGATCGTTGGGGGGCAATAGGGTTCATCAAATCAAACTATGATTTGTGACATGATGTCATCATACCATGACACAGTCTGTAATCACCAAATGCATTCCTAAGGAAGCTGCTCAGTGACACATGAAACTGAAGAGGTCTGATTTTAGAACCAGAGCATCTTACAAACCAGCTCACATCGATCAACACAGACCTCTGTCCTGATGAAGAGACATGAGGGAAACACTGCTCCATTCAGCTCTCAGGGAACTTTCAGCATCGTGTTTTTTAAATGCTGAGTCTGGAAATCATGAGATCGATCCGACAGTTTGAATGACACAGTTTGGGGTCAGTGTTCTTTGGATTCAAAGCTCCTAAATAAAGGATTCCCTTATCTCCTCCTTGGGGCCTTGTCATTAGCATTTCTACGCCTGCCTCACAGATTGCTTTAGTAGTCAATCATAGGTAGTCCCGCCCCCTCTTTCACTACCTTTCAGAAGGAGTGACCATATTTGGAAAAGTGGAAGGAGTTTCCCTAGCTCCTGTCCAGCTCCTCCCACTTGTCCAAATATGGCCACTTCCTTAGACCTAAAGACAGATGCTTGGTTTAGTAACCTGTGGAGTCGCCCCCTGCTGGACATTAATAAGAGACAGGTTTAACCGACTTACAGGAACAAAGAGATGACATGAAGTGTGTTGCTAGCTCGTCTTTCCATAAACTGCCCAACAAAGAACAAAAAGAACAGAAGACTTCCCCGTTTATATTTCAGCAGTATGATAGAAAGTCTAACTGGACGCAGTTAGACCGCAACATAAAGACTCTAAACTTGAGTTTAAAACATATGAAACATGAGTCTTTATTCCTCTCAGTATGTACATATTGCACACGAGGCTTCAGCTTGAACATTATAAATATGTTATATGATTATGAAGCATTATGTACGATTAAACATATTTAGCATCTCAGGAGAATAAATCCTGATCTTCAGCCATTGTCCAATCAGCAGATATGTCCGACAGGAACATGTGGAGCCGTTCAGCGGTCCAAAGTAACCCCAGAACACTTGAGATAAACATGTCCAGTCCTCCAGGAGACTTTCTGCTGAGTCTCCAGCTCCTTCAGAAACCAAAGAAGCCTTAAAAAGATAGAAATCCATCTTCTGTCCAGTCTGAACACCAGAAACTGAAACTAGAGTCTGATAAACACAGAGAAACAGCTGAGATGAGTCCAGAAGTGAAGAAGGATCAGCTGCTTCAAAACAAGACCACAAGAATACTCAGCTCATTTTAATCTCCTTCCTCCATCAACTCTCCTCCTACTTCCAGTCTGAGGACCTGTTAGCTAGGACCAGGACCAGGTCCCAGTCTGATGACCTGTTAGCTAGGATCAGGACCAGGTCCCAGGTCTGAGGACCTGTTAGCTAGGACCAGGACCAGGTCCCAGTCTGATGACCTGTTAGCTAGGACCAGGACCAGGTCCCAGTCTGATGACCTGTTAGCTAGGATCAGGACCAGGTCCCAGGTCTGAGGACCTGTTAGCTAGGATCAGGACCAGGTCCCAGTCTGATGACCTGTTAGCTAGGACCAGGACCAGGTCCCAGTCTGATGACCTGTTAGCTAGGACCAGGACCAGGTCCCAGTCTGATGACCTGTTAGCTAGGACCAGGACCAGGTCCCAGTCTGATGACCTGTTAGCTAGGATCAGGACCAGGTCCCAGTCTGATGACCTGTTAGCTAGGACCAGGACCAGGTCCCAGTCTGATGACCTGTTAGCTAGGACCAGGACCAGGTCCCAGTCTGATGACCTGTTAGCTAGGATCAGGACCAGGTCCCAGGTCTGAGGACCTGTTAGCTAGGATCAGGACCAGGTCCCAGGTCTGAGGACCTGTTAGCTAGGATCAGGACCAGGTCCCAGGTCTGAGGACCTGTTAGCTAGGATCAGGACCAGGTCCCAGGTCTAAGGACCTGTTAGCTAGGACCAGGACCAGGTCCCAGTCTGATGACCTGTTAGCTAGGATCAGGACCAGGTCCCAGGTCTGAGGACCTGTTAGCTAGGATCAGGACCAGGTCCCAGGTCTAAGGACCTGTTAGCTAGGACCAGGACCAGGTCCCAGTCTGATGACCTGTTAGCTAGGATCATGACCAGGTCCAGGTCTGAGGACCTGTTAGCTAGGACCAGGACCAGGTCTCAGTCTGATGACCTGTTAGCTAGGATCAGGACCAGGTCCCAGTCTGATGACCTGTTAGCTAGGATCATGACCAGGTCCAGGTCTGAGGACCTGTTAGCTAGGACCAGGACCAGGTCTCAGTCTGATGACCTGTTAGCTAGGACCAGGACCAGGTCTCAGTCTGATGACCTGTTAGCTAGGATCAGGACCAGGTCTCAGTCTGATGATCTGTTAGCTAGGATCAGGACCAGGTCTCAGTCTGATGACCTGTTAGCTAGGATCAGGACCAGGTCCCAGGTCTGAGGACCTGTTAGCTAGGATCAGGACCAGGTCTCAGTCTGATGACCTGTTAGCTAGGATCAGAACCAGGTCTCAGTCTGATGACCTGTTAGCTAGGATCAGGACCAGGTCTCAGTTTGATGACCTGTTAGCTAGGATCAGGACCAGGTCCCAGCCTGATGACCTGTTAGCTAGGACCAGAACCAGGTCTCAGTCTGATGACCTGTTAGGATCAGGACCAGGTCCCAGTCTGAGGACCTGTTAGCTAGGATCAGTACCAGGTCCAGGTCTGAGGACCTTGTTAATGAGAACACGCTGTGAGATGCTGAACTAACTACATCAGGATGAGGATTTGTCTAGAGTCCTGATCCGTCTCCAAGACGTGGAGTTAGCTTAAAGCTAACAGAGTTTGGGTTGGAGATGATGGATTCCCAAGTTTGAGTTTCAAAATGTTTAACTTCAGTGAATAACTGACTGAGCATGTGCAGAGTGTGATGTAACGCTGAGCAGTTCCAGAAGTCTGGTACAGAATCAGAGGACTTTCTATTGGCTGGAGGACTTCCTCTTCTTCGTCTTCGTCTTCTTCTTCTTCTTCTTCCTCTTCTTCGTCTTCTTCTTCTTCTTCTTCTGTGTCAACAGAGGCTGCTGGAACGAGAGAAGAGAAAACAAAACTCAGAGAGCTCTAATTGTAAAATAACTCACGTTTGATTGCCGTGTTCGGATCTGAACTCTGGAATCTTCTGAAACAGATTCTTTATGTAAATCAGTTCAAAGCTGAGGAGATTATATCACAATAAATAAAAGTAAAGAAGCATCAGAGAGGAGGAGGAGAGAGAGAGGGGATCTGATCCAGATGTTCCTCAGCTCAAATTTAAAGACTTAATATGTGATTTCATTTCAGGTAAATTTACATGCAGTGTGAAGATACCAGCATAATAAAGATCACTAGCATTAGCATGCTAACACAACAATGCAGCGCCAGTTGTTTTTGTTTCATGCTGGTGCTCAAGGGCGACATCTGCTGGATCAAAAAATCACATATAAAGCCTTTAAGGTCTTAGTGAGTGAGTGTCTGGTGTAACGGAACGGACTCCAGGTTCCACAGGTTTATAAACTCTGTGGCTTCTTAAAGAAACAAAGTTCTACACACTATAGGTTCTCTAAGATCTTCTCTAGATCCAGGATTAAAAGCAGGAAGGTTCTACTTGACTGTATTTCTACAGCTGGTACCTCAGGCTCTTTGTGTTTCACAGTGTTTTGTTCTGAAGGTTCTCCTGGCTCCAGGTAGAACACGTCTTAAAAGGGTCAGGGGATAGAACCGTGTTCCTCAGGTGTTCTGTGACGTTCTGTTTGCCGTGTGTTTGGTGCTCATTGGTTTTATATTTCACAGAACAATCATGTAACTGTGATGAAGCTGTTTATGTTCTTCTTCTGTGGTCTCATGTAAAACTGCTGCTCGCCTGCAGCGACGCCCTGCTCTCACGCTGACGTCAGATAATGATGTTAATCCAAAGAATCAGGAGTTCCCTGCAGTGAGACCGGCAACATGAGACAAACTGAAACAACAACCAAACGCTCTGCAGACAGAAACATTACAGTTCTGTGCATTAAGACTTTTACCCTTACCCTTCATGACAAGCAGAAAGGTCCAGACGTGTTCCCTACGTTGTTGTTGTGTGTACATAAAAGATGAAGTCTTACCAGAGTGTTTATCTCTCCGAGCAGCGAGGGCTGTTGGCCAACCGAGTCAGCAGACGAGCACATCTTTTATAATCTGATGAGGGGAAAATACATCATGATCATCTGTGGTTAAAAAACATGTTTGTTCTAAAAGTGGACTAAGCAACCGCTGCAGTCACAAGACAAGAGATGGGTTTAGCCTAGCTTAGCACACAAACTGTTAGCCTGAAGCTCAATCTGTTTTATTTGCTTGATTAATGTTTCGGAACGGATCATGTGAATGAGGTCATTTCTTAAAGGGAGTCATGGTGTTCTCCTCATGTCACCATCAGACCTGACCTAAACTCAGAGGTGAAACTCATAATGAGGAACAATGCTGCACAGATACCATCATGGTGGTTCTGTACTTTAGGATCAAACTTTAAGTCATCGTACAAATGAACCGTGAAGAAGTCAACCTTTAATTCAAACAATCACCTGATAGGACAGAATGATGTAATGGACCAAACTGGTTTGAACCTTCACAGCTCCTGTAGCTTTAATCCTCTGCACATGAAACCAGGTCACAGTGACTTCACTGGTCCAAGGTTCGATTCCCATCACTGTTACTGTGTGTATGTGCTGCAGGAGCTTGTTTGAGATCAACAAGATAAAACTTGTCTCCCTCCACACACACACACACACACACACACACACACACACACACACACACACACACACACACACACACACACACACACACACACACACACACACACACACACACACACACACACACACACACACACACACACACACACACACACACACACACACACACACACACACACACACACACACTTTCCCTCTTACTCTCTCCAAGATAAACAAAGGTCTACATGCATGATTAAAGAGCATAAGAGCTGCTGCTGTTGTGACACGATTACACTGATGATAAGACTAAGTGTGTGTGTGTGTGAGTGTGCTTGTATATCTATCATAAAGAGGACCACTGACTGTTGTTAACCTTTGAAGTAAAGACCAATTGACAAAGTGTGTGTGTACTCACAGGTAGGTACTGTGCAGTCTCTGGTGTTGTAGTACAGTCTGTGGAAATGTTTTCTGCACTTTGGGTTGATGTAGAGAGGACCTGAGGACAGGAAAACACAACTTGTCAATCACAGGTAGCCCCGCCCCCTCCTTCCTATTAGACTCTAAGTGGGACCATAATTTACTTAAACGTCGTGGCCATCGTTATTTTTCCCAAACAGAAGTGACCATATTTGGAGAAGAGGGTGGAGCTTGAGAGAGGGGTTTCCCTCACTTCTCTTCAGCTCCTCCCACTTATCCAAATATGGTCACTTCCTTATACAAAAAGTTTTTACTGACAATAAGAACGGCCATCTCCTCAGAGGTTCTGTATGTACAACCAAATGCTTAACAAGACATTTTCAGGTCGCCATGGCTGCACGTGTCAATCTCAGGTAGCCCCGCCTAGTTCCTACCCTCCTTCTGGTCTCTCTGACTCTAAATGGGACCATAATGTACTGAATGATGTACTGAAGAAGACTTGAAACTAAAGATCTAGACCATAAACTCAAGAGGGAAATGTTTACTAAGGGAGGAGTAGATCCACTTTATCATAGACTTCAACATTATCACATTCCTTTAATCAACAAGTGGAGACGCCCCCTGCTGGACATGATAAATACTGCAGGTTTCAGAATCTACTTTACTTCTTTTTCTTCTTCTTCTTTTATACAGTCTATAAAATCATTTATGAATCTGTCTGGTGCACAGATAAAACCAGACAGACCCATTTTGTTTTGAAGTTATAAAATAAAAATGCATCACAGTGCAAGCCAAATAAGATGAAAAGTCTGAAGATGTTTGTCGTCATTTCTGGTTTATAATGGAGGTGCAGTGTTTGAAGACTTGAGAATATGTTTACTGATTCAGAGGCTGAATAACAGATCATTAATTTAGAAAATACACTAAAACTAGATAAACATGAAGAAGCTGGAACAGGTTTACTGTTCTCTCTTTCTACATCCTTCAGGTCTGATAAAAACGTGCTGAATTAATTTCTCTATCCCCCCAAAAATAAACACTTGCAGCCCAGACTTCTTAATGAATTGCAACCTGCCTTACAATGTTGTTTACACGTTAGCACTCATCTTTATTAAAACCTTCTGCAGAGGAAGTGAGTCAGACGTCTTCCAGGTCATGCATGAGTGAGACAACAACGACCTGCTCGTTAAAAAAAAACTTCCCTTTAAATCATCCAAACAGGGAAAACACAGAGGAGGGTCTGAAGGGTTTCAGTTACAGTTTGAGATGGTTTTATCTCTGTGACATCACACTGGTCTGTACTGGTCAGTTCTGTGTGTTGACTTCATATCTTTAAGTGTTGGTTCAGATCCAACACAAACAGATGGAGCTCCCTCCACCTGAAGTGTTTGTTGAGTGGTCTCACCTGTCAGGTGTGTGATGAACTTGTCCTTGTGTTGAGGATCTCTGTGGTGACCCTCTGAAAGGAAAGAATACAAACTGTGTTTATGATGAATGTTGTCATGTCTGCAGCGTCTTATTTAACATTTATCTGTGACATACATTGTTGTTGTTGTTGTTGTTGTCGTTGTTGGTGCTCTGTAAGCCTCAGTGGGATACTTAAAGCACATGTTTCTCATACTAAACAGGTGAACACATTTAGTTTACAGCAATGTGTTTCCTGTTTGTCTTTATTACTCAGATGAATAATTACATTTATTCATAATCTGCCTCAACTGTTTATGATGAATCACTTCCTCAGTTCAAAACGCAGAGCGCAAAACACAGAGCGCAGAGCGCAAAACGCAGAGCGCAAAACGCAGAGCGCAAAACACAGAGCGCAAAACGCAGAGCGCAAAACACAAAACGCAGAGCGCAAAACGCAGAGCGCAAAACGCAGAGCGCAAAACACAGAGCGCAAAACGCAAAACGCAGAGCGCAAAACGCAGAGCGCAAAACGCAGAGCGCAAAACACAAAACGCAGAGCGCAAAACGCAGAGCGCAAAACACAGAGCGCAAAACACAAAACACAAAACGCAGAGCGCAGAGCCGTCGAGATCGTATCTCTGCCCACAGCGCAGTCGCTTCATACATACAGGATAGATGTAGATATGGTAGATGTAGATGTAGATGTAGATGTAGTTATAGTAGATGTAGATGTAGATGTAGTTATAGTAGATGTAGATGTAGATGTAGATGTAGATATAGTAGATGTAGATGTAGTTATAGTAGATGTAGATGTAGATGTAGTTATAGTAGATGTAGATGTAGTTATAGTAGATGTAGATGTAGATGTAGATGTAGATGTAGATATAGATGTAGATGTAGTTATAGTAGATGTAGATGTAGATGTAGTTATAGTAGATGTAGATGTAGATGTAGATGTAGATATAGATGTAGATATAGTTATAGTAGATGTAGATGTAGATGTAGATGTAGTTATAGTAGATGTAGATGTAGATATAGTAGATGTAGTTATAGTAGATGTAGATGTAGATATAGTAGATGTAGTTATAGTAGATGTAGATGTAGATATAGTAGATGTAGATGTAGTTATAGTAGATGTAGATGTAGTTATAGTAGATGTAGTTATAGTAGATGTAGATGTAGTTATAGTAGATGTAGATGTAGATATGGTAGATGTAGATGTAGTTATAGTAGATGTAGATGTAGTTATAGTAGATGTAGTTATAGTAGATGTAGATGTAGTTATAGTAGATGTAGATGTAGATATGGTAGATGTAGATGTAGATATAGTAGATGTAGATGTAGTTATAGTAGATGTAGTTATAGTAGATGTAGATGTAGTTATAGTAGATGTAGATATAGTAGATGTAGATATAGCAGATGTAGATATAGTAGATGTAGTTATAGTAGATGTAGATGTAGATGTAGATGTAGTTATAGTAGATGTAGATGTAGATACAGTAGATGTAGATGTAGATGTAGATGTAGTTATAGTAGATGTAGATGTAGATATAGTAGATGTAGTTATAGTAGATGTCACTATAGTAGATGTAGATGTAGTAGATGTAGATGTAGTTATAGTAGATGTAGATGTAGATATAGTAGATGTAGTTATAGTAGATGTCACTATAGTAGATGTAGTAGATGTAGATGTAGATGTAGGTGTAGTAGATATAGATGTAGTAGATGTAGATGTAGATGTAGGTGTAGTAGATGTAGATGTAGTAGATGTAGATGTAGGTGTAGTAGATGTAGATGTAGTAGATGTAGATGTAGGTGTAGTAGATGTAGATATAGTTATAGTAGATGTAGATGTAGATGTAGATATAGTAGATGTAGTTATAGTAGATGTCACTATAGTAGATGTAGTAGATGTAGATGTAGATGTAGATATAGATGTAGGTGTAGTAGATGTAGATGTAGTAGATGTAGATGTAGATGTAGGTGTAGTAGATGTAGATGTAGTAGATGTAGTAGATGTAGATGTAGATGTAGATGTAGTAGATGTAGTTATAGTAGATGTCACTATAGTAGATGTAGTAGATGTAGATGTAGATGTAGATGTAGATATAGATGTAGGTGTAGTAGATGTAGATGTAGTAGATGTAGATGTAGATGTAGGTGTAGTAGACGTAGATGTAGTAGATGTAGTAGATGTAGATGTAGTAGATGTAGATGTAGATGTAGTAGATGTAGATGTAGATGTAGATGTAGTAGATGTAGATGTAGATGTAGTAGATGTAGATGTAGGTGTAGTAGATGTAGATGTAGATGTAGTAGATGTAGATGTAGATGTAGTAGATGTAGATGTAGATGTAGATGTAGGTGTAGTAGATGTAGGTGTAGTAGATGTAGATGTAGATGTAGTAGATGTAGATGTAGGTGTAGTAGATGTTTTGTTACTGACCTGCTCTGCTGTGTGACCTGCTCTCTCTCTCTCCTGTTTTAACTCCATGTCCAGAGAATCCCGCCACCGGCCTCGTCCTCGTGTACCGGCCGACCATGTCCATCATGGCGCGTCCGTCTCCCATGAGCAGGGCCGCCGCCGCCGTGCAGCGACCTGCCGCCAACAGCAGCACCAGGAGCGCAGACAGGACGGGGAGGGTCGGGAGCTGCATCCTGCCGACCTGAAGGAGGACAGGTAGGATGATTTCACCAAATCACCTGAAAATAAGATCTTTGCTTTGACCACCAACGTGATAGTTTCAGAGTTCCTTTAGGAGCAGCTGGTTCCAAAAAGATGAGCCGATGTTTTGAGCTCTCTAGTTTTACTCAATCAGTAACACATTACTTTGAAACGGAACAACATTAAATGTAAATATAATCAATAAAATAAGATTCAATCTGTAGTTTTATTCACTTTATTTTGAAGGAGGCTGCTCTTTTATAAAACTTATATAGTGCAGATAAACTTCTTCTGGTCTTTGACACAGTTTATAAGAATGCACTCTGACATCTCACTCACCCTGACTGTTAACTTTAAACTGTTTCTCTGATCATTCATTAAGTTCTTCTGTTCTCACAGTGACTTTAAATAAAGTTTTTTGAATCTTCAGACTCACCTGTCCTCTCTCTGCTCCCCGGCGCTCCGCTCTCTGTCCCGGATCAGCTCGACCCGGTTCGGTTCGGGTTCAGTGCTGGCGTCCTGCGTGTGTTTGTCTGTGTTTAGTTATCCCGGGTTTTTCACGATCCGAGCCGCGTGCCGAGCTCCGGGGCCCGGTGGCATCTTAGACCGGTTCTGGTCAAAGACTGAGAACCTTCATCATCATCTTCATCATCATCATCTCCCTCTGTCAGAGAGCGGGGCGGCTCATCATCATGAGGACCTAAAAGAGGACCTCAAATCCCAGGAGAGCTGGAGTCCAGGTGTAGAGGCGTTTGGCACGAGCCCACCTGTTTACCTGTTTCAGTTCTCTGTGATCAGCGCGCGCTCCTCTCTCCTCTGTGGGTAAACTCCTTCTGCTCTGCACGCGCCAAACTCTGCAGGACTACGGAAATACAGAAGGAGGAGGAGGCGGGAGGCGCGTGCGCATTTGTGCACGCGGACATGTAACGTGCACACACGCGTGCATGTGAATTAAAGGAGAGAGTTTGTTGTTGTGAGCGGTGCACCACTCCCTCTCAGTGGAAGCAGAGAAAAATGCTTCTCCTCCATCCAGCACACTTTAATGAGTCTTTAAAGGACCAATCAGAAGAGAGCCTGCAGAGTCAGCAAGCACCTTTCAAACACTTCAAAGTTCTAACAACAGTGATCACACATTTCTGGGAATAAACCAAAGCACCATGATGTGCTCCACAGGGGGTCCCACACTATACCTGCTACCTTAAGATCATCTTTAATAGAGAAATCACGTGCAGTGTTCTCTGAAGTGCAATACTCTCAGAGAGGGCTCCAGCAGACCTCTAACGCTGCTCCTCCACTGCAGACCCCCCAAAGGGTCTCTGTCCAGTGGAGAAAACTAAACTAGACCACTGGAGGAGAAAGAGTTCAGAGTCTGTCCAGTGGAGAAAACTAAACTAGACCACTGGAGGAGAAAGGGTTCAGAGTCTGTTCAGTGGAGAAAACTAAACTAGACCACTGGAGGAGAAAGAGTTCAGAGTCTGTTCAGTGGAGAAAACTAAACTAGACCACTGGAGGAGAAAGAGTTCAGAGTCTGTTCAGTGGAGAAAACTAAACTAGACCACTGGAGGTGAAAGAGTTCAGAGTCTGTTCAGGAGAAAGAGTTCAGAGTCTGTCCAGGAGAAAGAGTTCAGAGTCTGTTCAGTGGAGAAAACTAAACTAGACCACTGGAGGAGAAAGAGTTCAGAGTCTGTTCAGTGGAGAAAACTAAACTAGACCACTGGAGGAGAAAGAGTTCAGAGTCTGTTCAGTGGAGAAAACTAAACTAGACCACTGGAGGAGAAAGAGTTCAGAGTCTGTCCAGTGGAGAAAACTAAACTAGACCACTGGAGGAGAAAGAGTTCAGAGTCTGTGTTCAGTGGAGAAAACTAAACTAGACCACTGGAGGAGAAAGAGTTCAGAGTCTGTTCAGTGGAGAAAACTAAACTAGACCACTGGAGGTCCGCTGGGTAGCATTCTGATTACCGGTAAAGCCGCCATTTTCCAAATTGTGCAAAAGGAAGAACGCTACGAGCTGAGACTCCCACATGACACGCTCGCTTTCAGTCGCCATGGTTACCTGTAAACAAACATGCAGAGAATGTGGAGAAACCAGAAACTGGCCATATTGCAAGTGTAGAAATCTGATTTCCATGAAGTATCATCAGAACAGAGCACTCCTATGGAACCCGCTGTGAGGCACCTTAGAACATCTCCCCACCCTCCACAAGAACCTCTGAGCACCTTTTGAAACTGATCTCTGTAAGGACCCTCACTGGAGAACCAATCAGACAGCTTTAAAGATGCAGAGCAGAGAGAGAGAGAGAGCATTAAAAAGAAAACAGATTAAAACGGAGCAGAGTGACGAGAGATGGAAGAAAAACTAAACACACTCAGTGAACACGTTCCGTTCTGCCAGCTTCTTAAATGTTATCATCACACACACACACACACACACACACACACACACACACACACACACACACACACACACACACACACACACACACACACACACACACACACACACACACACACACACACACACACACACACACACACACACACACACACACACA